TAGGAACATTGGTTAAAAGAAAGGAAAAAAACAATAACATCAAAGGAGAGAGAGAAAAGGCTCAAGAGACAATTTACAAATCATGAATTGCGGTGAAGTGTTAGAAGTAAAATCTCTAATACTCGTTGTTTGTTTGGTTGATTCTTCTTTAATCTCTTTTCTTCTCAAGCTGTTACAACGGGGACTAACTCCTATTTAATGAGAAAAGCGAGGGTCACCGTTTATAAGGTGACACTGCAGATGACATTACTAAGCTGTCAATCTTCTTGTATCGTCATCATTCCATCTCAGCCAGCGAATCACGTTAGATTACGTATGTCAGTTCCTGCTTGCTAGGTATGCGCCTTCGAGTTATTTGCGCAGTTACAAAATCATTTTCTACCTTAAATTTCTTATTCTTACAGTCGAGATCGGCCAGAACAGAAACGAGATTGGTAATATAAAAATCATAACTAACCTATTGACAGAATATTATTCATATCTGAAGGGATATCTCAAGAGAAAATTGCCTTAGAAGGCCGTTACATAACAACATCATGATTACAATACATGAACCGACCCCAGGTTGCTACGTGCTGGTCGTAATGACTTTCGAATTGCAAAACATGAAGGTATCGCACGTTTACACCTTTAAGAACGAGAGGTGTCGAACGTGACCTTTTACCAAAGAGATTCACTCTTCCTGGACTAACAAATTCACTTAATTAATAGCATAGCTTTCTCAAGACACTATCACGAGTTCTAATTACCGTAGAAACCGAACAACTGTTCCATTTCCAGAGCAAAATAGACAGTCCGAGTTGTGAAGGTATTCACGCTCAGTTACAAAAACAAAAAAGACAATCAAAAACAAAGACAAACCAGAAAAGAAACACGAATAAGGTTTCAAAACGACTAATCCACTAATTAAAATCCTATTTGCTCACATTTTTGCATTGCATCCCACCAACCTCTACGTTCGTTTAGCCGTGTAACTCTGTCTATCCGTATGTCGCTTTCACGTGTCACGTGTCTCTATTAATGTGTCTTCTCTGGTTTGATTTGCATTCAGTGCTTTTTCTTTTTTCAAGCTGTTCAATGTTCTGATTCATTAATTTGCTTATTAAATGAATTTAAAAACAGTACTTGTTTCAATAACCTTACCGTTGCATTGAGTTTCCGCGCCAGTCCACGTGCCATTGTCTGTACAGGTTCGCCTTGCGGATCCGTCCAAATCGTGCCCTTTCTCATACGAAAACTGACAGGTATGTTCGGGCAGATTAGAACAGGGCTGTAAACTTCCGTTGAAGGGAGCAGACAGCTGCGAGTAGCGGTTCACTGATAAATGAATGGAATATCAAAAGTTTACTAACCTTTCTGTAGATGAAATGTGTTTTCTTGGTAGCTGTTGAACTCTTCAGATCATTAAACTCTACTTATAATACATGGGCGCGCGTTGATTTGGAATTTCTCTTCGAGTTAAACACGAGAAGAGAAATTCCTTATCTACATGCAACTATGTATTATTTTGTTTTAATCATATAAACTACGGTGTTATACAAGGATTTCCAGCCCTGAGAAAAGCCGTAACAACACACGTGAAAAAATAAGATATTTTTTCACGTGTGTTTGATATCGCCAATCAGCTGCTGACGCGTCACTCGCTTTTGCAATGGCATTTCTCGCGGTTGAGAACGAAAATCGACAACTGGAAGGTTTATCATGGGCCGATTTGCTTTGTAGCGGAAAGATTTCTATAGGTTACGAAGAAGTCAATAACTGATAATTATGTACATTGAAAATTACGCCCATTGTTGTTTTGTAGTGATTCAGCGCTTTTCTTTTTCATATTGAGCAAATTTTATTCCACATCTCACTCGGTCGCTGCGCTAACTCATGTGCTATCGAGTCGAACACTCGAAGAGAAATTTTATATCGCGCCCATGCATTATTCTCTACATAGCTCAAATTTATATTTCAGTGAGCCAAACCGTTTTTGTTTAATTTGTTTCCATTTGCCAACAATGATTCGGGTTAATGCCCACACGCCTCGAACGCAATCTGCCTAACCATCCAGACAAGTATGTCTGGCTGATTCGTAGATCGATTAACATAGGTGGTGCTTAAAAGGAGGAGAGGTTTTTTATCCTTTTCTTTTTTATCTTTAATTTTGTGATGAACCTGAGTTATAAATCGGTACATACAACTTCAAAACATCTCGAGGAGTTTACAGTCTGCCCAGAATTGGTGAGAAAGCTTCCGAAAAACAACAGAACATCCTGAACACTCAGCATAATAATTATTTGCTATTAACAATGGGATAACACACAATAGAAATGTCACAAAAAGATAGGGCCGAGAAGGCTCATTTACATGACAGAAACAAATGATATCATGCCCTCCAGATGATGATGCAAAGGTCTACCCTCAAATTTTGCTTTTAACAATAAAAGATAAAAAAAGGCGTTAATGAGTTTAGAGCGAAAGAATTTTCACCGCATAGAAATTACTTTTGGTTATTTACCTTCACACAGGACTGTCCTTTGTTTGTGAATCAGCAAGACAGATAGAGTAAATATACAGCTCTTGAGATACATGTTGAAGGCAATCGAAAATGAAACCCTGAAAAACGATCAAACAACATTAAACAAAGGTAAAAACGTTCCATCGATTGTTACAACGTATGAGTGACGTATAATAAATCTACGAGGGATTTCAATAACATTTTCCATAAGCGGTTGCCGATGGTGGAATAGGCGGCTATGCTAGGAGAAGGGACCGTAAGACGAAACTAAACACGAGAGTCTACTCGCATAATAAACAGACGGTGGTAAAAGGTCTTAAAGGCAGCGGTAGACAGCTAATAATCGACTCTCCATGAAACCATGAAACCTCTGTAATCTAGTCATCGAAAAGGAAGTGCAGCACAACAAGAGCATCGAACTTGATTTAAATCAGTATGTTACTACTTATTTACTCCATTCCGGTAACTCTAACATTGAGGCATGCACGCTCTTAAATGATGCATGATGCAATATTTTAAATATTTCATGGAGTGAACAGAAAAGCAGGATAACAGCGCCATAGATACCTTTTAAGCCAATTAGGAAGACCTTTTCAAATAACATCAACCGCTGTGAGAAAGATGCCAATCCAAACAAGAGAAAAAGACGACGAACACTAGCGCTTAGGAGGATCACTCTGCAATGCATAAGAGACAGTTAAGTTTCCTTGCGCCAAGTATTAACGCGGTATCATTTTCCGGATTGTGGCAGTTGGTATCAGCGTGATTCCACCTAATAACAATTGAGCATTGAATTTAAATTGAGCATGAACCGTTACCACGGCAAAAGCATTACAAATCAACGTAAACACTGTAATTTGGTATTATAATAAAGTTCGGATATAACGCGCGATGTCATTGGTTCAGAAAGCGTGCTCTATCGGAGCATAGAACATAGAGCGAGAGAGCTAAAGCTGTCACGCCATCAGCCAAATTGTACTTTGTCCGACCTATCCCGGGCTTCTTTCTAGCTTTTTTCATAAGAAAATTCTTATGCACGTTGAAAACCTCGAAATGAACAACTCGCTCAAATGGGCTCTTTTCATCAAAGTAAGCGGTCAGATAACAAGCAATACACTGTTGAAGTAAGGTGAAGTATTTTTATTGAGAATTTGACGTATTTTTTTATTCCTTAGAGCGGTCGTAAATATTCCCATACAAACTCTTATAATTCCGCCATGACTGTTATTGCGCAAGATGATCATCTCACAGCTGGAGCTTGGGCCGCCTGTGCTTACAGTTGAGACCGCTTGCGTCCCCTCATGCATGGACATTAAGGGCCTCTTCATATGAGCCCGGTTGACCGGGCTAGCCCGGTTACCGAGATCTCGCCTCACTCCTATTTCCTTTGTACAAATTTCGATGTGTTCATATGAGAAGGCGGGCCAGCCCGGTTACCGAGATCTCGGTTGTAGAAACCGAGATCTCGGTAACCGGGATGAAATATTTTCCCATATGAACACTCCAGCTCGGTTACCGGGATGAAAATTTTTCCCATATGAACACTCCAGCTCGGTTACCGGGATGAAAATTTTTCAACTACGCATGCCTTGTAAGGACGCTGACTAAACGGAACGCAGCTCACGCGACCTACAACGCGTGCAAACATGGCGGATGGCGAAGTGTCTTCCACCTTGACTTCGAAGAGATTCCGTTGGGAAACAGTCACGGTAAGGCAGTTGATCGACTGTTTACTTGAATACAAATCAAAAATGGCCTATAGAAACCTTGATTTCGACGCCGATAAACAAATTCAGTACCAAGAACTGCGAGTGGACATGGCGAAGCTTCATGAGGACGATGAATCTATATTTGGTCCTGTGGCTGCTTTCAAGTTACCGGATGATTTCAAAACCCGTTAGTAGTTAGTTTTTGGCCATATTTGTTCTGTTAGAGGTTGCCTTCAGTTTTGGTAGTCATGACCATATTTGGCAAGTCACGTGACCAGAACACAAAAACCGTATAAACTCACACAGCTTACATCCTTCTCCAATGGAACAAAAGCCAACAGGTAGAGTGCATTCAAATGCAAAATTTGTAGAATGGATTTGTTAAAATTCGCATTACTGAAAAAGCTATGACGTCATGAAGTTTTTGTGATGTCATAGCTTCTTCAATAACATACATTTTAACAAATCCATTCTACAAATTTTGCACCTGAATGCACTCTACCCGTTGGCTTTTGTTTCATTGGGGAAAGATGTAAGCTGTGTGAGTTTATACGGTTTTTGTGTTATGGTTACGTGACTTACCAAATATGATCATGACTACCGAAAGTGAAGGCGACCTCCAATAGAACAAATATGGCCAAAAACTAAATCAAGGATACTAAGGGAGCTCAAGATATGACAGTTAGAAGTCATCCATAGCATGCATTTTGTATTTAAGGGTCTCCCCCTTAAGTTAATTAAACTAAGTACAGCAATACATGTAAATAGGGTAAAGTTTAAGTACTACGTTAAAGATTCTTCAGTACTAATTGTGTGAGTGTTGTCCTCACAACACTCCCTTCTCCCACATCACAAGAGTAAATTGGATCAGGAGTGTTTTTAAGCTGATCTTCATTTTCCTTCATAAGTTGAATTTGCGAGTCAACCAAGTCCTGATCAACATACATGTTATGCTTCTCATAATAATTATGTAATACAAAACATGCATAAATAATTGTTGGTATTGCCTCAAGTTTGAAGTCCACTTTTGTAGTGAGTATGGACCATCTTGCTTTAAGCCGGCCAAAAGCACATTCAATTTGGTTCCTGGCAGAACGCAGCATGTTGTTGAAAACAACTTGTTTATTACTGGTACATGAATCATACTCTTTCATGCAGAAAGGAAGCAATGGATAAGCTGGATCACCAATGAGGTAATTAGGTATTTTGACACCACCTGGAATTGGAGTCTGAAATGTACAGGGCAATTTATTACTTCTTAATTTGGCACTGATGGAAGAATTGGCAAAAACCTTTGCATCGTGGACACTTCCAGGCCACTTACATTCAACATCCATGAAGGAGCCTTTATAGTCACACACAGCCTGCACACTTAATGAAAAAAACTGCTTATAGCAGAAAAAATCTTGTGAGTTCTCTGATGGGCACTGAATTGGAATGTGTGTCCCATCAATGCAACCAAAAGCTTGTGTCATGCCAAATTTGGCTTCAAATTCTGCTACCTTCTCCCTCATGCTTTCTTCATCTTCAGGAAGATGGAGATATTTCGGGCCAAGATAGTTTGAAATAGCTTGACAAACCTCATTTACAACAGCTGATGCAGTGTTGAGTGCTATTCCAAAACTATTGGCTGTCATTCTCAGGGAACCAGTGTCTTAAAAAATACAATGCAACTGCAACCTTTTTTTCTGCACTCAATGCCCTGTGGTTAGGTGACTTTGGGTTTGGTGAAATGTATGGCCTTAGCTCCGATACCAGGTTCACAAAAGCAGCCCTTGACATCCGAAAGTTCTCTTTCCAACATTCTTCAGGTGCTACTCCCGTCCAGATGTTTTTCCACCACAAGTCAGTTCGACCGGGTTTATGCCAACAACTTCGTTTTTTTCTGTACAAATCTCTCTGCTTCAGCTGCTTTACATTTCGGAAGAAATAACTTTTCTTCCGCAACAAGCCGATCCGGATTGCATCAATCTGCCTGGTTTGATGTATTTTCCATAGCAAAAGGACCCCGTGGAGTTGTAGCACTAGAGCTACGAGCGTTGATAACGCTACGATGGGAGCGAACGATGTAACTGTTGAACGTGGCGCCATCTTTGTTTACTTTCTTGAATTTCGCGCTCAAACTCGTTCCCAGGGCCTCAGTCCACGTTTCGCGCCCTTTTCGACTCTTTTTCATCCCGGTAACCGGGCTGAAATTTCCCATATGAACAGACGACAAAATTCGTCCCGGTAACCGGGCCAGCCCGGTTACCGGGCTCATATGAAGAGGCCCTTAAGTAAGAAAATATGATATCTTCACGCGTTAAAAGATCATTGTTGCTATGGTTACATATGAAATCGCACCTTTTGACGTATCTCCTTCGACTTCGAGAAAAATTGTCGCTTACTTTTATTTGTATCATTTGTTATTTCACATTAGCGCTAGGAGGATCACTCTGCAATGCATAAGAGACAGTTAAGTTTCCTTGCGCCAAGTATTAACGCGGTATCATTTTCCGGATTGTGGCAGTTGGTATCAACGTGATTCCACCTAATAACAATTGAGCATTGAATTTAAATTGAGCATGAACCGTTACCACGGCAAAAGCATTACAAATCAACGTAAACACTGTAATTTGGTATTATAATAAAGTTCGGATATAACGCGCGATGTCATTGATTCAGAGAGCGTGCTCTATCGGAGCATAGAACATAGAGCGAGAGAGCTAAAGCTGTCACGCCATCTGCCAAATTGTACTTTGTCCGACCTATCCCGGGCTTCTTTCTAGCTTTTTTCATTAACGGAAAGTGAAGTTTCGGAACAAGCGACTCTGCAAATAGCAACAGAAGAACTAAACAAAGGTTTGTAAACATGCCGAGCGCCGTAATCGACGTTATTATAACGTGAGCAGTTATGAAAATCCTCAAATCGAATCGAGGAAATACAGTATTAAATATTTAAGTAAATTATGAATTGAAAGTCCGAACGCAACTGGTTTCCTTATTCTGATCCTCTTTTCTAATTTGCATTGGTGGACTTGCTTAATTTGTTTACTGACCTCGCCTTGGATACTCTTCTTTGTTTAATCGTCAGCACTGTATAATAGATGATATGGACATTAAGTAAGACAATATGATATCTTCACACGCTAAAAGATCATTGTTGCTATGGTTACATGTGAAAATCGCACCTTAGACGTATCTCCTTCGACTTCGAGAAAAATTTTCGCTGACTTTTATTTGTATCATTTGTTATTTCACAGTATAAAGTGCTTAGTTTTTGCAAGCCCCTTAAATTTTTCCATTTAAGGTTTTTTCTCACTCTCTGTCTTGCATTGGACTTAACCTACTGCAATCTATCAGCAACAGTGAAGTACCTCGAACGTTCGTAATAGCAAGCTTGATGCTTTAACTTATAAATTACTTAGGTTGAGCTCAGATATGGCCTCTCGGCGTTGTATTATACCCAGGTTTGCAAGGTGTTCTGGACGATGAACTTTGAAAACAGGAGCAGCCAGGCGCTATAAGTCAGGTTAGGCGGAGACCTGCGAAAAAAGTATGCGACGGCAGCCGGTGTGTGAGGAAGGGCCAGATACCTCACTTAGGACATTATACGCGGTTCTGACTCCTCTGCTCGAGGAAGGACCAACCCAGCGTAGTCCCTGCTGAAAGACCTGGAGGAGGATCCGGAAACATTATCGAGAAGAACTGCAAGTAAACAGAACGCATTTCGCATGGCTAGTTTGGAATAAATAGCTTCTTTACTTTCAGGTTTATTGAAATCATATTTTCTTTCTCACGGTACTCAAACTTCCCGTATTTTCACCACGGGAAATCGCAGCTTATATTAAGATAACTATAATTATTTCTAAACATCTACGTAAGCTTGCAAACGTTCAAGCTGGGTAGAAAGTTCTCAAACATGGATCTGGAGTTACTATATACCAGTGTACTTACCCTGATTTTGACACTCGTTGGATCTTTAACCAAGACAAGCTATCATCGTCATCATAACGTAAATCTCGTACCTGTAATTTTTTTTCAGCTCAATCGTTTGCAATCTACAGTGAGTTCATAGCTATTCTGTGTAAATGTAAAGACTATAAGATTCATACCTATCAAATCAACAGCGATATCATAACAACGGCTTAAGCTGTGAACAGGACCAAGCTCACAAGAAAGTTAGAATTTGTAGTAGAAGTGAAATACATCGAACTTGCACATGTCGCCGCTTGTTCAATATTTAAATCATTATGAAGATTGAATAGGGCGTGACAATGGCAAGTGTATCGTTACTGAGTCTTAAATATATAAAGACAGTGGCGATCCATTCTATGATTGTAAATCGAGTGACATATGTGCAGATGCATAGGATCAGCTGACAGGCCCCATACATAAGATTGCTGCGATGTTGTTTGATTGTTTGTCATGATTACAAATCGATACAGGGTCGTCAATAGTTCTTCTGTGGAAGATGTTTGAGTCACTTTCCACTTGAAGAAAATTTAACAATTCACGATTTATACTGCTCAAACAATGAAGCAATACGTATCATGATGCTGGAAGTAAATAAGGAAGGAATAATACTGTGTATCAAATTCAAGAATTACGATCGTTTTATAAGAGTTTCATTCGTGATTCACGCTGACTCTGAATCATTTCGATTGACACATGCAAGCTGAGGAAGGAGGAGAGCTTCACTAATTAGTATCAAAAGCACAAATCATGTGGGTTCGGCGGCTATCACATCGTTTGCGTCGATTCATTCATTCACAAGCTTCATTCACAAGAGCCAGTCATCTACAAAGCAAAGAGTGAGAATGAAGATGTTGCTCAGATATTTGTTGAAATGCTTGAAGGAACATGAAGAATATAGATAAGGAATTTGACTTTGTAAAGGCCATCCAATATCATCCAAGCCTAGGTCGCCCTACTCCTCCTGTTTGTGCCTCCAACTGATTGTTGCAATTTCTATGCTAATTGTAAGGCTAGAGCCGGCGAACGTCTTCGCGTGTCACATGCTTGCTCTTGGGAAAAGCATGCAACATAGCGTGTTGAGTAAGGGTGGGTAAGCAAACTCAAGTATAAAAACGTGCGTGGCAGAAGACCGCTTAACACAGCATTTATTTTATCGACATACTCCTTTGTGCCCCATTTCCTTTTTTTTCTTTTGTCATGCTCGAAAATTTAATCTCGCAGATCGATGATGCCTGCCAAATGTTGTGCTTCTGTCAGTCTTCCCTTGTGCTACGGCTTCCTTAGATGAAACCAGTTGAGACTTCCCTTAAGGCCGCGCATGCTCAGTGCATTTTTCTATAGGGTGACTTAGCAAAAATAAAGCTGCAATTTTCGTCATATCGACATAGTCAGACTTGTACCAACCCGTCCTAAGGCGTCCTCCAGCGGGTAAACCAACCCGGGCAGGGTGAGAGCGTGAAGTGTAAAGGGTAGGGTGAACGTGTGAGAGGAAAAAGTCGTCCTTAATCTTTGTCTTTCCCGCCATCCCTTTCTCACCCACGTCAATGTTACGAGGAGGCTATTTCTTCCGGCCGAGACAAAAATTAATGTACTGAATTATTTCTAATAAATTTCATGATACAAGAGGGATTTTATGTAAATATCAGCTCAAGTGATAAAGAAATACCGGCGTTATTCAAACAAAGACAAAGAAGAATAGAAGCCGGAAGTTTCATTTTGTAACAACATCCGGTGGAGCGACGAATTCTGGGTAACAACGCAGGCGCTCTCTAGCACAAGAGGAGGCAGACCCGTGTAGATGAAGCTTTGTTTTGGTGCGGAAAGTTCAGCAACTACTTATTTCCGCAAACATTTTGCAAGTTTCCTTGGCAGTAGAATGGAGCGGTATCCAACATCTTGATCAGCCGCTTTTGTCGATATACTCTTGATCATGTCTTCGGCAAAGATCCCAGAGGGACTGCAGTCTTTCCTTCGTCACGCAGAGAGTTTACATCCTTCGAACAATGCACGGCGAGAGAATGGTTTTGCGAGGGAATTCCAGGTATATATATCCCTTTTTTCTTTAGACCAAGGGAAACCTAACAGTATGATTACTCTTTTCTTTAATTTCGAAACTCAATTTTTACTTCTCTCGTCGAATTAAGTGACTGCTTAAACTTGGTGAAACCGAAATATTTGACTACTCGCTAATTTCCGTGTTATTTCAATATTCTGTACATAACTACCTGGAGATCAAATTAATTTGCTTTAAAGTTTCACCGCGGTTCACGATTTATTCGACGACCGGCATGTTATCGATAAAGATGACGAAGGTTTATCTTTAAATCAAACATTCAAAACGATTACCGGAAGTCACTGGAAAGTATGTTGTAGAGCGCGTTGTCGGTAAACAAATTTCATTATCTGCTTTTCCTAGCGATCGATCAGCAATACTGGCGTAAAATTTTAAATGAGCAACCTTGTCGTTGAGTTACAGATTAGTGAATGCTTTCATAGAAAAGATCTTGATTCTTAGCAGAGGTATAGAAAGTAAAATCCTATTAATTATGCAACTGTGCTTAAAAGCATATCGAAAGTTCTAAGGTGTGATCGTGGTGTGATCGTGGTGTCATAGGGCGGTGATCACTCGGAATGCATAATTTTATTATTATTATTATTATTATTATTATTATTATTATTATTATTTTCTTTTTTTTTTTCCTTTGGCCAAAGAAAAATTTTTTAAAACCTCCTTCTTTGGTAAAATACAACTCCATGTTGGCTATACCAACCCCTGCCCCTCCCACCATCATAATTTTGAATTCGTCGATTTTATGTTTCAATTTATCATTTAATATTTTGTAGCAATTGAAGGATATGTCCTCTAAATTGAAGAAAGATCCAGAATACAGTACTCATCAAGGAGAGCTTGAGTATAATCGTCCTAAAAACCGATATAAAGATATTGTGCCATGTAAGTATTTATTCAGTTGTTTTCATTAGTTTTCAAATGTCTTCTAGTTTTAAAAATTTTGTATGAGATATTGCTCTGTTCTAAGTTTACCTTCAAAGACCCAAAGAATGATTAGCATCTAATTTCTCCTTACAATATCACCCCTAGATCAAACATGAAGGTCACAAGAATGAAGAAAATGATCACCAACTAAATATGGTCTTGATCATTAAACAAATTCTCTCTGTCAGCACCTTAGGAAATATTTAGAGAAAAGTATAGAGAATATGCATAATGATGTGAGGGTGTAAAGGATTAACAATGTACAACATGGTGGCGAGTTCTAGAAGATGAGATGTAACTTATGAAACTGCTCATTTAATTGTATGCTTTTGAAAATATAACTGCAAATCATAATTTCAAGGGTTATTGCACATGTCAAGTTATACAAAACTCTGTTTGCCTGGGCAAGTTTACAAAGTCTAAGCATTTATGTTTTGAATATTCAGTAGCATTAGTTCTTCTTTATGCCAAAATTTCCCAACCAGTGCAATATTTTGGGAGTAGATTTGAAAAAAAATGCAAGAAACAAAAAACCTTCATAAACTTTGATGAGAATGATCAAACTTGAACCAAAACATGTAAATATACACTGCATGGATAATGATGTTTGTATGTAGTCAACATCTTTGTGGGCAGTTGATACTGATCTATCATGGCTGATAATTGTTGTTATTACACTTTTAGTTGACTATAATCGTATCACTCTTCCATCATTGGCTGGTAAACCTGGTTCAGACTACATCAATGGAAACTACATTAAGGTATAATATACAGTGTAGGAATGAGTTAGAGACTTCATGCCCATGATGAGGATAATGACTTCACTGTTATTTGATTTGCAGTCAGTAGTGTAATTAAGGCAAATGAAAAATTAACCCTTTAACTCCCATGAGTGACCAAGATAGAATTTCTCCTTACAATAACAATACAATATCAACCAGTTGAGTGATGAGAATAAAGAAAAATATCAATTTGGGGACAATTAGTTGATCCAATACTAAATTCTCTGAACTAACATTATAAGAATGATATGGTTGGCAGTAAGGAGAATTACAAATTTGATCTGGGAGTTAAAAGATTAAACAATTCAACCGAGAAAACAGGAAACAATGCAATACAACTGCAGGCTGTCACCACATTATGCAGGAAACATTTTTGAGTGACACTTTCTTTAAGCTACATGTGTAATGCTTCAAAAGGGTTTCACTCAGTGTCACAATAATTTAAGAACTAAGAAAATTTCTGAGAAAATATTTAAACTTGAAAGTGAAAATATGTTTCAGCTGAAGATTATTTGCAAGTTGTGTTTTTGTCTCAAGTAACTGAAGAATGTTTGTGCAGTTACTGAGCATTTCCAACACAATTTCACCTTGTTTACTAGTTTTACTAAGCCATATAACCAAGGAAAAAAAAGGGAAATAAGAGAAAAGATAGGAAATAATAAAAAGAAATACCAAAATAAAGAAATAAACTAATCAAGAAAGAGAAAAAAAAATCCTGCATCAAACTATAACCTGGATGATTCAATATAAAACCATGTATCATCAGGGACCAGATGGGAAGACTCATTACCTAGCTCTACAAGGTCCTTTGCCAAGAACAGTTGATGATTTCTGGAGAGTGATAGCATCTCACAAATGCCAGGTAATACATTTTTTTAACTTGGCCGTTTCTTAAGTAAACTCCTTTCTCTTAAGGCTCTTCAGATAACTAACAGTTAGATCAGGAGCTTGAGATATCTAACATCTAGAAACCAAGAGCAAAGAGAACTGTTTGATGTTCAAAATCTTATCACAAGAAAGGTTCAAGGTTTTTACTTTATTTTGTTTACAAATGCTTGGCTACTCACAAAATTGTCTGTCACAGAATAGTTAAAACTAAGTGTATTGAATAGTGAAAACTCAGTGTGTCCAGTCAGTAAGGGCATTTATATGATAGAACACTGGCAAATTATACTCAAAATATGCCATTTTAAAGTTGTGTATCTAGTTGCCAAGCCTTTGATTTGGAGTGAGGCTGAAGGTGACCTTGTGGGTATAGAGACCAGTATCTAGTTAGCATGATCACAAAGTAATTCACATTTGAAAATCGGCAAGGTATGTAAAATAACAAGGTCACCCTTAGCCTCACCCCTGTTCAAAAGCTCAACAACCAAGCACCCAACTGTGAAATGGAGTATTGTTAATTGTTTACATCTACGTCTTGGTGGGTTCTTTGAGAAGGAACCTTGGAGGAGAGTCTTACCCACTCAATGCTTTTTTCCCATCTTCAATCTGAAGTAAAAGAAGTACAAGATGATTTTAATTCTTGAAGTAATGACTGACACTTTATGCCATGTTTGAATCTATAGATTGTGATAATGGTATGCAGAGAAATTGAGATGGGGAAGGTGAGTGTTGATTCTTCTACAGGTAAAATCAACTGGGTGAGAAGAACTCAAATGACTTTACCATGACATTAGTCAATATGCAGCCAGACCAAATTAGCATAAGTAAGCAAGTTGAGCCCTCAACCTTCCCCTTAACCCCCCCCCCCCAAAAAAAAAAAAAAAAAAAAAAAAAAAAAAAAAGAAGAAAAGAAAAAAAGTTGAAAGCAAAGATCAAAAGATACCCTTGTCTATACTAAATTTTTGGACACTTATGTAGTGTCTTACTTTCATTTAGCCTCTTTTTGTCATTATGA